CCCCGCCCGCCGCCTCCCCCCCCGGCCGGGGCTGCCGCGTGGCCGTTTGCTCCATTTCCCCCTTAAACTCTCAAACTGGCACATTCATGCCCTGCGGGCACAGAGCAGGGCCCCCCCGCCTGGCCCCTCCGGCCCCCCCTTCTCACGCCCGCCCGCCTTCCCCTCCAGGTACAGCATGGGGAGCGACCCTGCCGGGTGGCTGGCCATCAACCCCGAAAACGGCATCATCACGGCAATCCTCCCTCTGGACAGGGAGGGCAGCTTGGTCTCCAACAGCACCTACAAGGCCATTGTCCTGGCGGTGGACTCCGGTAAGGACACACGGCGTCCCCTTGTTCTGGCCCTGGTCTCCGTCCCAGCAAGCTGCCTGTGCGGCCGGTTGGAAGGCAGGGCGAGCTCCCCACCCTCCGGCTGCAGCACCGGCCTCCCGCGGCTAGTTAAAACCTCGCCTTGGGCGTACTCGCGCCTTCCTCCCCCGCCCTGCCGCTCCTCCGAGGGGAGAGATCGCTGCTGCCCAGCTTGGGGAGCCACGGAAGAGCCCCTGGCTGCCCCGTAGAATAGTCCAGGGTCCACGGGGAACAGGTGGGGCGTGGCCAGGACGTGGAGGCTAAGGACCCACGTGGCCTCCCTCTGCTTACAGGCAGACGGGCTAGAGAGCTGTGGCAACGCTCACTACAGCTGGGCCCCGTGGAAGGCCGGGTGAGCCCAGCCTCCGGCCCACCTGAGCAGCAGGGTTCTCCCGGGCACAGTGCCGTGCCCAGACCCCTGCACTGAGCCGTTCTCCCTTAGGGCAGCCCTCGGCCACGGGCACGGGGACCCTGCTCTTGACCCTGGAGGACGTGAATGACAACGGGCCGGTGCCAGAGCCGCGGGAGTTTGAAATCTGCGGTCGGAACCCGGTGGCCCAGCAGTTGGCGATCGTGGACCCGGACCTGCCCCCGAACACCTCTCCCTTCCAGGCCGACCTGGTGCACGGCTCCGGCTCCAACTGGACAGCAACTGTGAACCAAGGGGGTAAGTGGCTGGGCCCTGGGCCCCTTCCTGGCTTGTCCTGCTGCAAAGCGGGGCCGGGCCCCTGCAGCGCAGAGCAGCCAGCTGTGGGGGAGCTCCCTCCGCGCTCGCGTTCCGCCTGGGCTGGGGCCCAGGGGCCGTGGGCTAGAAGGGGGCCCGTCTGGTTGCTGCGTTTGCCTCGTGAAAGGGCCTTGGAGCCACAGGGCCATGGCGGGTGCTGCTTGTCTCCCCACCCGCAGAGCTGGGGCAGGGACCCCCGCCCTTGAAGGGCTGGTGCTCTCTCACAAAACTGCCATGCCAGGCCTGCGGGATCCTGTCCCTTGGCAGGGTTCCTGACTCCAGCCCTAAGTCTGTTCTCCCCGCAGGGAAGAGCCTGGGCTTACAGCTCACCAAGACCCTGGAGCCCGGGGAATACAACATCTTCCTGCAGCTGACGGACAACCAGGGGAAATCCCAGGTGACGACGGTCAAGGCCAAGGTGTGTGACTGCGAAGGGGAGGCCAGGAACTGCGAGAGGAGAGCCACCATGGCGGGCGGCATGGGGATCCCAGCCATCCTGGGGATTCTCGGGGGGATCCTCGCCTTGCTGAGTGAGTACCGCAAGCAGAGCTCCTGCACCCCAGGGAGAAGCCCGGAGCCCTGCCAGCGAGCGCCTGTTGCAAATGGCCCCGCTTTCCCTCCCTTTCCAGTCCTGCTGCTGCTGCTGCTGCTCTTCGTGCGGCGGAGGAAGGTGGTGAAGGAGCCCTTGCTGCTGCCGGACGACGAGACCCGGGACAACGTCTATTACTACGACGAGGAGGGCGGCGGCGAGGAAGACCAGGTGGGTGGAGCTCTGAGGCTTTTGCTTTGCTGTCTTCATTTAGACTCCAGTGCATGGACAGGGCTGGTTATTTTTCCACCGTGGCCAGACTCACGGAATGTGGGCCTGAGGTCACGTGGCCTAGCTTGGGGTGTCCCCGTGGGTCCGTGGCACTGCCAAGCTTTGAACCAGGGCCCCCATGGTCCAGCCTCTCGCTCTGAGGAGTAGCTCTGCCAGTAGCTCTGCCCTGGCCCTGGCCCTTTGCTTGGTCACCAGCAGCGTTCGGGGGGCTCAACGTGGCACATTGACAGCGGGGCTCAGCCAGGGCAGCAAGCGGGGGCCTGAAAGTGGAGGGCCTAAGGCAACCGCCTTGCTTGCCTTGTGCTAAGTCCGGCCCTGGTGGCCAGCTGCACCCTCAGCTCTGACACCCCTTCTTTGGCACGTGGCGGGCAAAGCCGTTGGGACAGACCAAGCGTGACTTGCTCAGCACCTTGAGCGCGTGGGCCCACGCGCCGAGAGGACAGGGCCTGCAGCGTGGTCCTGCCTCTGGGGGCTCAGTTCCCCAGCGTGGCCCTGGCAATGCTGCCCTTGGCTTCTCGTGGCCAGTAGCATTGGTTTTGCTGCCATGAACTCCTTACAGGAATGAGGAGATGCAAAGCCAACCCCCCCCTCCCTCCGAGTCTTCAGCATTCCCACCTCCTGCCCCTTCTCTCTACCATGTCCCAATGTCACCCTTCAGCAACTGCTTCCCTGCAGGCCTCTGTACAGAGCCACTCTCCGAGGTACCCCAGTGCAGGGCTGCGTGCCGGACAGACCCCGAGGGAGGCTCCGTGGTGGGGTCACTGTGTGTGTGTGTGTGGGGGGGGGGAACGCCTGAATATGGACCCTGCCTCTGGCAGAGGCCATCCCCTTTACAGCCCGGCACTGCTGCGACTTGTGGAACAGCCTGGCTTTCCCTGGCTCCCATTTCCTGACGACCCATCGCTTCTCCCTCTCCTGCAGAACTACGATCTGAGCCAGCTGCGCCGCGGCCTGGACGCTCGTCCCGAGGTCACCCGCAACGACGTCATCCCCACTCTCATGCCTGCCCCGCAGTACCGGCCTCGCCCCGCCAACCCTGATGAGATCGGAAACTTCATCGACGAGGTGAGGGGGCTGGCAGACCGGCCTGGCTCCTCCTTCCTGGTGGGCAGAGGGTCCGGGGCGTTACTCGGCGCCTGTGCAGAGCCTCTGGGCTGCACGGCTTCCCATTTGCTGTGACTGGGAGCAGAATCCCTCATTGCAGGCCGTGCGGTGCTCAGGCCCTTCCTTAGACCTGCCCCGGGATCTCTCTGGCTGCGTCTCTGTGCCCAGTAGGGGCACTGCAGCCAAAGCTCCAGACTCTGAAATCCCTGGGCATAGGGCATCTCTGTGCCAGGTGCTGAGGAGGGAGCTCTTTCCCGCAGCTCAGGACTGGCCACCTTCAGAGTGTGATGCACGGCCCTGCTCTCCCCCTGAGCAGCAGTCTGATAGCCATCATTACAAGTGGGAACTCAGCGGTTAATTCCGTTGGTGACAGCACTGTGGTCCTCTTGCAGCTGCATGCAGAACTAGGGTGCACTGGATACAGGTGCTTCTGAGACATCCAGACACCTGGGCAGGGTGCCTAGGGCGACAGGCCCACAGGACAGAGAGAAGCGAGACCAGTGTTTCTTAAACCTTTTAAGACCAAGGGACACCAAACAATAATTTTTTTTGAGTAAAACCAAGGATTTTTTTGTTGTGCAAAAAAAAAAAAAAAAGTCGTTTGCCCCTTTAAGAGTGGCCATTTTGAATTCTCTTGTTCTTCCTGGCACACCTGTGTGCTAAGGAACAGCATTTAAGAAACACGGGGGGAGACAGTATCCTTGCTGAGTGTGCTTGGGGAGCTGGGCTGCCCTGCTAAATTGTCTCCCTCCCCCTTCCATGGGGCTCAGGGGGGAGACGGGATTCTGGGGATGCAGTCTGGAACTGTGGGGCTGCTGTGCCTCCTTTTCTCACTGTCTTGGCCTGTCCTTCACAAAGCCTTCCTGGTAGCAAGCAGAAAACCCCTCCAGGGGCTGTTACCATCCGCACAACCACATGTGGAGCCCTTACACCCAGCTAGATCGCATGAATGCCCGGAAGCCGCTCCTCAATCACACGCAGAAAGGGAGCCGCCAGATCCCGCCAGCCTTGTACCTTAGGAGTGTACCATCTTTCACTGCTCGAGACTCCTTCTCGAACTGTGCCAGTTGATTTGTTGGTTCACCACGTCATGAGTGGGAAGTGGCCATGTAGCAGCCTTTGCAAACCTGAGCAGATGTGCCAAGCACGTCAGTCAAACCGTTTGCTGATCACAAAAGAGAGATGTGTAAGTGAGTGTGTCAGGCCAAACGTCAAAGGTGGCTCCCAAAGAACACAAAGGTTACACGGGTTGTCCAAGCATGACCAGCCCTGGTGTAAACTGGGCTAAGCTGCCCATGTGCAGTGCAGTCACGCAGCTATGAATACACCCCGTGTAGACAGAGCTCCGGGTAGATCCCCTCACCTCTTTGCAGCTCGTGGTGTGACGGGTTTCCTTGTGGCCATGGGTGCTAGAGGTTTACGAAGAGAAGCTGAGTCTCTGCAGCACAGCCTGCCAGCTCCGGTGGGCGCAGGGCAGGTACAGAGGCTGCTGGCTGTGAGGCAGGTACAGTGGGGTGCAGAAAGGGCCGATTCAGGGACACCTCCATGTCCAGTCTGCCTGAGACTCTCCACAGGGCATCCCCCGAGCGGGAGCTCCAGGTAGGGTGAAGCGCTTGCTCTAGCTCACGATTTAACGCTCCTTCCCACCCCCAGAACCTGAAGGCGGCTGACACGGACCCCACAGCCCCGCCCTACGACTCCCTGCTGGTGTTCGACTACGAGGGCAGCGGCTCCGAGGCGGCCTCGCTCAGCTCCCTCAACTCCTCCACCTCCAACCAGAACCAGGACTACGACTACCTGCAGGACTGGGGCAAACCAAGGCAATGATGGTCTTTAGTGGACTGAACAGTTCTCAAGGCCGCTTCAAGAAGCTGGCTGACATGTACGGCGGGGGCGAGGAGGAGTAGATGCTGTGAGTGTGTCCGGGCTGCAGCTGGGCGGCGCGTGCGAGAAACGTTGCTGCAGCCCTTTCCGCACAGACCAAGAAAGTCGCTGCTCTTCCCAAGTGGGCTGGACGGCGGAAATTCCCTTTCCTTAGCAGACCAAAGCACCACGTGAATCTGTCGCAGCCCGGGCTCCCTTTCTTCAGCCCCTGTGGTCCAGCCACAGCCAGCCAGTGCGTTCCAGGTGAACAGGGGCATCCCGATTTCCATCAACCAAGAGCACTGGCAGCAGCCTGCCAGGAGTGAGAATTCTCTCCAGACCATGCTGCACTTTTACGTGTTCGCTGCCAGGGCTACTGGAGTTAGCCACCCACCATTATCCAATTCCTCAGGCTCCAGGCGTCACCTGGTTGATTTAGACACCTTCACCCTTTCCCAGGTCCTAAGACTCAGGGATTACTCATCTGCTGATTTGCAGGATCTTTTTACTAGTGAAAGAGCCTTACACAGTCAGATCTCAAAGCTCTATTTATTAACCGGTACCAAACCAGAAAGCACATGCTAAGTATACAGTGCTCACTCGCCACTCTCGGTAAGGGAGAGGAACTTTTCTTGATGCCAGTCAGGGTTAGGATCTCTGGGGACTTCAGCTGCTGCAGAGTGAAACTAGCAGGGTGCTGAGGTCCAGCAGTTTTGGATCTTGGGGCTGTCTGTGTTGTGGAGTTGGGTCCAAAGACATTCCCTGGACGCTCATTTATATAGTGAAACTTGAGTCCTGCTTAGCTCTACCTTAGCCAGTCATTTTATTCAAGTATTACAGAATAATTCTTTGTCCAATTCTAACATTGTGAAGTAATTCATTACCCAGTCATACCCCAGCACCTTCATTGATTTAATTCTTGTAAAATTAATTATGCAACACAGAGAAGCAATAAAAGAGCCAGACAAAAACCACCCAGCTAAACAATAGAGAAGTGGGCACCTGTGATAGGACTGTTTCCAGGCGCGTGCAGACATGGGCTGCTCTCAAAAACACGGCCAGGCTCGGCAGTTACCCGGCTCTGTTTCCTCTCCTGTGGCTCGGGATCTCCTGGCTGCTGCTACTTCCCCCAGCTGGCCAGAGGCTTCCACTTGCTGGGCCCACATGGCTGAGCACTCACAGGCCCCTGCCTGCAGAATGGAGTTGCGCCACTTGGGTGGTGGGCAGCACTGGCTCAGCCTGCCGGGCATTTCTTGCTACAGACTTCCCACGACGGGAGCCGGCTAACTCCTGGGGGCTCCTCTCCTCCGGCTGCACCATTAAAAGGTCCCCATTTCCCCGGTGCTCTCACAGTTCCAAACGCAGGCAGCCCAGCGGTAAGAGCCCCTCCACCAGGGTATGGGGATTTGTTCACTTTTCAGCACAGCCCATTGTGTAGTGCAATGCTGCACGAGCCCGGCAGTGGGTGTGTCTGCCAAGTAGCTTCTGAAGCACAAGTGTGAAATAGCCCCTTTTCTGTCTGTAACTGTGGGGATCTGTTACCTCTGGGCCGCCCTGGGACACGGTCGGATTGCAGGGGACTCAGCCACAGAGATTTTGTTCCGAATTTTCAGCTGCCACTTATTTTGAATATTACCGGTACTGTTATCCAAGAGCTGCACTTGGATGTGCCTAGCCCACAAAGACCAAAGAGGATGGCAGCCCTCTTGGTAAGCAGTCACTGTCATTGAAGACGTCTGGGCCCCCAGGAAATCCTCAGGGATTCACACCCTTTCCTAGAGGGGAACCCCAGGACTCAGTTCGGGAGCTCTGCTGCCAGCCTTTGTGTTGTGTTGTGTTGCAAATACCTTTGTGTGCTGGTTTCAATGAACCCAGCCCATCTCTGTACCGGCATTTGTGCATTCTTGGAACCTGATGGTACTTTCTGTGTTGTGATTTTCCATTTCTCTGAATAGAGTGCAGTCTTCTTCCCCCACTCTCTCCCTCCTTGCGACACACCCCTTACCTCCTCCAGGAAAACTGGATTTTACACCGACTCCCCGTAAAGCGCTGCTGCAACCCGCTTCTCTTTGTTGCTAGCGAGGGCTGTTGTTCATCCTCTGCTGACTGGAGGAGTGACTCTGAAGGGGTGTGGCCTCGTGCCATTAGTGCCTAGAATAATGAATGCATAAATTAATGCAATGTCTAACGCCTGCCAGCCCAGTCTGAGGTTATATTTTTGTATAAAGTTGTTCATTCATATGTCTGAATAGGGGAAAAATGATCTATAAAATACCAGCCAATACCAAGCCATTTTCTTTTCTTCTATTATTTAGCTTATTTAATAGCTACAAGCTGATTTATATTTTTCCATAATGCCAGATTGTGACTGCTTCCTTCAGTATGTTCTCCAGTGTTCCCTTGAATCTTTTCCATCCATGTGCAGAATAAATTGGATGTGCACCAGCACATGGATGGATGTGCACCACCAGTAGAAACAAAACACCCAGCTGTGGGCGCTCTGCTAATCAGCAGAGAGATGAATCTCTCCCAAGGGGCTGCACAAGTGCATAGCTGACAGGAAACATTGGTGTTGTCTAGTCTACAATATTTGCAGTGTAACTATTGTGCATTTTAATGAATGGAGCTTTAAAAAAAAAAAAAGCTTGATCTGGTTTCTAAACTGTATCTTTGGTTGCCTTAATATTTTGTACCTTTCTCTGACGGGGAATGGTGGGACCTAAAGCAAGCTAAGGAAAAGCAATCGTTTTGTGTTAATCTGAGTCTACATTTTTATAACATTTTAATAAATTTGTTTTTAAAAATACTTTTATTTACCACTAAAAGCTTCTGCCTGGTTTTTTTTTTCTCCCTTCGCGCTTTGTACGTATTTTCTAAACTCACCCAAGCTGACATCATGCACTGCTGCTTTAGGGGCAGGCTTAGGTGTCTCCAGTCAGCCTCAGCTGGCTCCTTTGGAAAAGAACAAAAGCCAAATGCTTTGTGCAGCCTCTGGCTCTTTTATATGGAAATGGCTTTGAGACCATGCGGTGGGACACACCTAGTGTGCCTCTAGCAGAGCAGGAACTAGCTGACAACTCTCAAACAACTGGAAAAAGAGACCTTCTATTGCTTCAAAAACCCTAATGGAGGGGACAGGCTGGGATCCATTTTATATAAGCAAGGCATAATACAGGTCAGAACTAGATTGAGTTTTGGGGCTAATTCCAGCTCCATCCCCCTGTAGACTTCTGCAGGGAGTGGTATAGGACAGGCCCAATCCACACTAGAAAAGTTTTGCTGGTCCAGCTTAGGGATATAAAATCCTGTTTCATTGGTTAACCAGTGAAACCTAATGGTTAACTGGTTAACAGATGTTACCCAGGGCACAAAGGCAACTAGGAAAATAGAAATCACGAAGGTGACTCTTGTACCAGGGTAGCCCCGGTTTCAGAGGATGCAGCCTCTGATCGATCGATACCCTTTTCCCGTACCTATCACCGGTGTGGAGTAATTCCTCTGTGCACCCTCCCACTGTGATATGGAAATAATAAAGGACACTCTGGGTAAGTTTAACAAACGCATGAAGGGATTAAATTACGATAACGGGGAAAACTGGGAAATTCAAATTAGACCCAAAACCAAAGAACAAACGGGAAGCTTCCTTAATCAACAATAACGGTATTACAGTGCAGGATTAACGAGGCATGAAGGTTAGGCCCAAATGCCCTCTTTGGCCAGATAGAAATAGGAGATGGCAATAAAAGAACCCAAAGAAATAAAACCATTTTAGACTGTGAGGCAGCGCTGGGCGCAGCCGAGGCCTGGGACCTTCGACCCTGGAGCTAATGGGCAGCTCTTGGGGAGGAACTCTGGGGAGAAGCCAGCGGGGAGCTTCGATGGTGGCGGTGGATCCCTGAGGGAAAATCTTCCCCTTCCCTTGTCACAGCCGTTATGGTGGCCCGGTGCTGGCAGGAGCATGGATGGACAAGACCACGCCCCCCCAGCAGCTGCGCGGAGCCTTAAATCTCTTCTGTGGCGCGAAAACTCTGAGGGGATGGAATGTTGCGCTCAGGCGGGAAAAGCCGGTTCTGGCCGGTCAGAACCAGCACAGCCCAGACTTCTCTAGCGGCTGAGAGGCACTTGGATCAAAATGGAGTCATAGACTCCTAGTGCACTAGAAATGGAACGACTTCGAGAGTCACCGAGTCCAGTCCCCTGCCCTCACGGCAGGACCAAGCACCATCTAGACCATTCCTGACAAGTGTCTGTCCAACCTGCTCTTCAATATCTCCAGTGATGGAGATTCCACAACCTCCATAGGCAATTTATCCCAGTGTTTAACCATCCTTTCCTAATGTCCAACCTAAACCTCCTCTGCTGAAATTTAAGCCCATTGCTGCTTGTCCTGTCCTCAGAGGCCAAGGAGAACTATTTTTCCCTCCTTCTCCCTGACACACCCTGTTAGATACCTGAAAACCACTATCATCCCCTCTTGTCTTCTCTTTTCCAAACTAAACAAATCCAGTTCCTTCAGTCTTCCCTCTCATAGCTCATGTTTTCTAGACCTTTAATAATTTTTGTTGCTCTTTTCTGGACCCTCTCTAATTTCTCCACATCTTTCTTGAAATGTGGCGCCCAGAACTGGACACAATACTCCAACTGAGGCCTAATCAGCGCAGAGTAGAGCGGAAGAATAACTTCTCGTGTCTTGCTCACCACACTCCTGTTAATGCAGCCCAGAATCATGTTTGCTTTTTTTGCAACAGTGTCACACTGTTGACTCATATTTATCTTGTGGTCCACTATGGCCCCTAGATCCCTTAATAAGTGTACTCTCTATGGCATCATCTAAATCATTGATGAAGATATTGAACAGAACCAGTCCCAAAACAGACCCCTGCAGAACTCCACGTTATGTTCTCCCAGCAGGATTGTGAACCCTTAATAACTACTCTCTGAAAACAGTTACCCAGCCAGTTATGCACCCACCTTATAGTAGCCCCATCCAGGTTGTATCTGACTATTTTATTGGTAAGAAGGTCATGCGAGACCATATCAAATGCCTTACTAAAGTCTAGGTATACCGTGCTCACTGCTTCTCCCTTAGACACAAGACTCGTTATCCTATCAGATGAAGCTATCAGATTGGTTTGACATGATTTGATCTTTACAAATCCATGCTGTCTGTTACCTGTCACCTTATTTTCTTCCAGATGTTTGCAGATGAATTCCTTAATTACCTACTCCATTATCTTTCCTGGCACTGTATTAAATTGACTTGTCTGTAGTTCCCTATGTTGTTCTTATTTCCCTTTATATAGATGGGCCCTCAATTTGCCCTTTTCCTGTCTTCTGGAATCTCTCCCAACTTCCATGACTTTTCAAAGATGATAGCTAGAGGCTGAGATACCTCTTCTTAGCTCCTGGAGTATTCTAGGGTGCCTTTCATCAGGCCCTGGTGACTTGAAAACATCTAACTTTTCTAAGTAACATTTCGCTTGTTCTATCACAGGGCACTGGAGCGCTGTGCAGCCAGGGCTGAGGGTCTCATTTGCAGTCCAGAGGGCTGAAAGGGGCACAACGGGCTGATTGGAACTAGACCAGCGGGGGGATCCCCAGCGCAGGGGGGGTAAATGATCCAGTTGTGGGGTTGGGTAGGACATGGAGGCCAGCCTGGGCCTGCGTGCGGGGGCAGTTAAATGGGAGCCGGAGAGCGGCCGGGGGCTGCTGGCCTGTCAGCCGGACGCAGGGCGGCTGGGCTGAGCCGGTCAGTGCTCAGGGGCACTGGGGGCCATGGGTCTGGGGGCTGCATCACTCAAGACAGCGGGGGGCCCTGCCAGCTC